ATCTGATCTGATCATTACATCTGATCTATTATCACATCTGATCTGTTATCAGATCTGATCTGATCATTACATCTGATCTATCACGTATGATCTAAAATCACATCTCATCTGTTACCACATGTGATCTGTTAATACACGTCTGATCTATAATCACATCTGATCTATTAATACACCGTCCTATCTATTATTACATCAGATCTTTTATTACATCTGATCTATTCATTACATCTGATTTATTTTCACATCTGATCTGTTATTTTGTTTTGAACTGATCATTTGTGCATCTGATCTATTAGTACTCACCTGATCTGTTTAATATGTCTGATATGTTAAACTCATCTGATCTGTGCTGAAATGATCAGTTGTATATGTCTGATCTGTTTTATTCTCCTGCAGAAGTGAATCCTGCAGTACTTCTTGTGTCTGTATGGTTTGTTGATTGTTGTGTTTGTCGTTCAGTGGCGTTGCCGACGGTCAGTAATCTGGAGCTGCATGACATCACTCACAGTAGCATGCGTGCGCGCTGGCGGGAGGCAGAGGGGGCTTCTGGGTACATGATCCTGTACGCGCCTCTGACGGAGGGTGACCCCGCGGACGAGAAGGAGGTGGAATACACACACACACACACACACACTACAGGTCCTCTCACACTGCATGCGAATGTCCAGCGTGAAGATTTGGACTAGAATCAGTCGATGACACCCGGCTGGAACATGCATGAATGTAGATGCTCTCAGATCTGTGAGTATCCCTTACTAGTGAGTGTGTGTTTGTGTGTTTACAGGTTAAAGTGTCCGACTCCGTGACTCAGGTTGAACTGGAAGGTTTAACTCCTGCGACCGAATACACAGTGACTGTTTATGCCCTGTATGGAGAGGAAGCCAGTGACCCCATGACCGCGCAGGAGACCACGCGTGAGTCCAAACCCCAGACACGCAACACATCAGAGAAACACATGTGTGTGCTAAATACTAGCCTTCACCAGAGAAGAGCTGATAATATCATCTGTCTGACTCTCTCGCTCTCAGTCCGTCTGACTCCGGCTCGTAATCTGCGCATCTCAGACGTCAGTCACAGCTCCGCTAAACTCTCGTGGGACGCGGCGTCTCGTAAGGTCAAAGGTTACCGTATTGTTTATGTGAAGACGGACGCTGTGGAGACCAATAAGGTGAGACCGCATCCGGCCACTGTGAACTGAATTGTTTTGGCATGTCTCTGACCTTTGACCCTTTGGTGACCTCAGGTGGAAGTGGGTCCGGTCACCACGCTGTTGCTGCGTAACCTGACCTCTCTGACGGAGTACACCGTCGCCATCTTTGCCCTGTATGACGAGGGACAAGCAGAACCGCTGACGGACAGCTTCACCACCAGTGAGGACACGCATAGCATTAATATATAAAAAATAACATTAAGTTCAAATATAATTGAAATGCAAAAAAAAAAAACATACAATCAAGTTGTAAATTGAAATCATATTTCTTTTTTTAATGTGTGTGTGTGTGTTGTAGGTGAGGTTCCTCTGCCGCTGAATCTCCGCAGCAGTGACGTGTCCACCGATAGCTTCAGAGTGATGTGGCAAGACGCCGCTTCTGACGTCTCCTTCTACAGACTCACTTGGAGACCCGCAGCAGGAGGAGAGACTAAAGAGGTGCACACACCTGTCTGTCTGCCCGTCTGTCTCTGCATTTGTCTTGTTGAAAACGAAACACCAGCGATCTCATCACTGTTGTCTGCATCAGTCCGTCTGATGACTCTGTGTTCGTCTGCAGGTTCTCATCAATGATAACTCCAACTGGTTTGTCATCACGGGTCTGAAGCCTTTGACTGAATATGAAGTTTCTCTGTCTGCGATCTACAGAGACGAGTCTGAGAGCGATCTGGTGGAGATCAGTGAGACCACAGGTCTGACGTCACGTGATCGTTCATTAAGCCCAGTGCTGTCGGAATATTGACCGGAATCACGAAACTTAAAATGTGTTTTTTTGTCTCTAATTTTGTTTGAAGTCGCCAGAACAACAACAGTTGTGACGACGACCGTCAGAACGACTACAGCCGGTAAAATCTCTCATGTGTTCCTAGCAGATGTTTTCCTGCGTCAGAAATGCTCTTCGGCAGTCTCTTACAGACATGTTCATGCACACGCAATAGCTGTGTTTTTTGTTTGCGTGGCACTTCTGCTCCTCTGAACTTCTTGCATTTCCCCAAACATTTCATTAACCTTCAGAACAGCAGTTGATGACTCAGTCACTACAGAAAACATCGCAAAGATTGATTTCTTTCACTTTGCTGACCACCGAAACCTTGAATGCGCTCGGATCATCATGGCTTCAGCTCATTGTCTGTCTCTGTGTGTATGTGTCTGTGTGTGTCTGTGTGTGTCTGTGTGTGTCTGTGTGTGTGAGTGTGTGTGAGTGTCTGTGTGTGTGTGTGTGTGTGTGTGTGTGTGTGAGTGTG